TAAGGTGCCACAAGTACTCCTGTTCTTTTTGCGGATACAGTCTAACACGGCTGCACTCTGAAACCTAGCTTATAACAATTAACTCTAGTTCTCTCCACTTCCTTTTTGAATACAGCTAGTTACCTACCTCACAAATTAGCATACACTTAACTTGTTACAAGACACCAGGCAGGCTTTGCCAAGATCCTCCAAAAAGCAGACCATCTTCCAAATCATGTGCAGCAAGTGAATTAACTTTTTGTTTTGTTTTGTTATATTAACAGTTTTTCTTGATTCAGTGAGAAGGACATTGTTTAAAGCTCTGCATTGTCAATTTCTCCTCTAAAGTCTTCTCACCTCTTGAAGTGTAGGTGGAGATAAATTGAAGCAACTCATGTGTAATGATAGCTTTTAAACATCTAAATAAGCAGAATGAGATCAGGAGAGCCATATTTTCAAGTGACTTCACATTTTCTATATTCTTGTGGAATGAGATCTGTAGTTTAAACGCAAGAAAATAAAGGCTTAAGAAAATTGGACTGCAGCTAGGAAAAAGTGGAGTAAAATCTCTCAAATCCTCTTCCAAAAGGTATGCTCCAAGAAGAGGCTACTAGGCAAGCTTAATGGAAGGCTTTCTAGGTCTCTCTCATAATTTAGGTATATGCTACCAGGTTTTGCCTTGCTGCCTTTTTCATGTCCTTCTCCCACACTCATTTAAATGCCTACTTGGCCTGGGATACCACTACCTGCTCAGTTTACTCATGTCCTTTCATCCTTCAGGTCCTTCCTTTAAGCATGCTTCTTCTAAACTGCCTGTGCATCCCAGCCCTCCCTTCAAGACACATCAACAAAATAGAATTGAGGAGGAAAGAGAAATTTAAACAAAATGGGAAATGAACGTAGCACCATTAACTGTCTCCCACTTTCTAGCCTTCATCTGTATGTTGTTTGGGACAATGACCTTATCTTGGTTGCCTACCAAGTACTTGGCACACTTCTAATGCTAGTAAACAGATATATACCCATCAGAAAGAGTTTACTGTCCAATTGATAGGAGACATTTGGTTTAACTGAAGGATTGTTTGTGTATTTCCAAGAAGGGTAAGAAAACTTCCTACCTTGCTCTTTTTATCTTAAATTCTTCAAGCGAAATCATCTCTAGATGCAAAGAAGGTTGAGAGAGCACTCGACTAAACAAGCTTCATCTGCGTTCCATACAAAACTAAATTATTATATTTCCAGATTTCCCCTTGCTTCTCTACAAGTCACAATGAGGGGAAAAGTTAGACTCCTTTGATGTGAAAAAAGCAATATATCACTTCTCTGAAAGAACATTTCTCAGTCTCTCATGTGAAAAAGGATTAACACCTCCAACAAAGGTCCTCTAGATCACAGAACTAAGCAGCAATACTGAACAGTATTCCTGAGGAGTGGAAAAACTGTATTTAAGCAAGAGATTGTTTGAACTGGCAAACAGAAGCTTTTTAATAGCTGAAGATCTAAGATAAAGGATTAAACCTTTCTGAAGTATCTACACTTAAACTACTCTAAAGACAAGGAAGCGAGTTTAAATTCATGAAAGACCATCTTTGTTTTCCTAAATGAACAATGTTCTTTAGTGTCAAAATAGAATCTATTCACTGCATTGTGAACTATATAAACTTTATTGCAATACCATATATCTGTTAGTGTGGTCTTGTTTAGGGTTTACTTTATTGAATTCTGACTTGATTTGAGCAGCTGCTGGGGACACAGTATTTGCCCACATGTAAACTGATCATTATTAAAATATTTTGATGTAGACAAAATAAAGAAATATGCTGATTATCTGTTCTGTTAAAGAATACTTGTTCTGTATGTATAAGAGGAGCATGTGAAATAAAATATTATAGCTTTAAGTGGCAATTTGTGGCATTTTCCCATACACAACTCTTAATTTGATACTTCATTGTTTCATAACATTAGGCATTATATCTAATAAACATGTATATTGGTCTAATACATATTAAATGTTTGGAGCCGTGTTAAGCAGATTTTTATTTTAAAAATAGGCTTGATATCTACTGATATGTAATGTGAGATGACCGCTCCAGAGATCTGAGATGGATATCATTTGCTTGGGATTAGGAATGGGAGGATTTTAATTTATTTATTTATTGCCATTTTTATATTCAAAAGTTAAGTGTAAGAAAATGAAATCCCATAGCATTTCTGTTAGAGCTCCTGATTGTTTAACCAAACCTTCGCTTAACTTGCTGTCTTAAGAACTAAATTACAGCATTTTTTATCTCAAATAGCAAACAGGTAACCTTCTGACCTTTTCAGTAAATCCCCAACTGAACCTTTGAAATTAGACTGGTTTCGCATTTTATGGCACAAAATAAAAATCTTATTCCGTTATAGTGTATCCTGAACACACATTTTATTAAGCTCTTGACTCATTCAGCCATGTGTATTTTGTAAAGTTCCTATGGTTATTGTTTTACAATAGCTGCTTCCAGAAGCATTGTAAGGGTTTCAATTAATCAGCTCTTTGTGTGCTTCAGACTATGCAAATTTATCGCATCAAGCCATTCAGCAGCTCATGGGAAAGCCGTGTACAAACTGTATTGTCTTCTAGCGCCGCCTCTCATTTAGAGTGATGTTTTTAATAAGCGAGCTAATCAAGTTTACTTATGCATTATTTATCTGTTCATTTTAATTCTGTTCTTCTTTCTATCCTATGTCAAATGGGATGTAGCAAGTGATATGATAGATCTGTAAATGATTCAGGTGTTGAAGAAAGCTAATATGATTTAGCACTCCTTTTTTTTCCCCCTCTGGAGTTGTGTATATAGTTGTGTAATAAACATGATGGCTAATTAGAGAAACTTGAAGCAAACATACCTGGTACCATATATTGATTTGCAGATTTGTCTATAAATCTGTTCTCCCCCAAAATACTTTGTAACTATAAAACAGCAATTGTATTTGAAAATAGCCTTCTTATTGAAAGTTTAGCCCATCCCTTTAATTCCAATGTGTACTCTGTCATTGGACACATCTAGTACTGAAAAATCCAGAGTGCACCTATTAAGGAATTAAGGTTATTTTTCTAACCATATAAGAGTAAAGGAGCTAAACAAGTTCATCCAGTAGTGGGCTTCTTCTCACCTCTGCAGCAGAAATTAGTAGTAATGCTGCTGCCACTTCTATTCACTTAAGTTAGTCCTCTTTGCTCTCCAATGCACTGCCTGTTGACAGTAATTAGGCTTTTACATATTAGGTTGTTTGACTTTTTAATTTTTTCATTTGTGAGTGTGTGTTTTATTTACGGAAAGTATCCGTATGGTGGCTTGTGAAAGAGACTTACCCCTACTGCTGGATATTTTTGATTATTAAACAGTGTGTTTTAGAGTCAGGGCCGGCTCCAGACACCAGCGCAGGAAGCAGGTGCTTGGGGCGGCCAATGGAAAGGGGCGGCACTTCCAGGGTTTTCGGCGGCGGGTCCCTCAGTCCCTCTCGGAGGGAAGGACCGGCCGCCAAATTGCCACCGAAGAATGAAGCGGCTTTTTTTTTTCCCTTCGCCGCTTGGGGTGGCAAAAAAGCTAGAACCATCCCTGTTTAGAGTGGTAAATTCACACCTGCTAGCAAGAAACGACAGCAACTCGTAAGGGACACAAATTCTAGAGTTTTGAGTCTCTGTAGGTGGAAAAGTAAAATCTCTCAATAAAAAAAGTGAAGAGATGAATGTATCTTTAAGACCCTGATCTTGCTAAGAGATCCACGTTGTGAGACCCAGTCCATGAACAGAGTGGGATTCCATACAGATTGACATTTATGCCCACATGGATCCCTTTGCAGGGTGGGGTGAATATGTAGTCAGGAAATTATCACATATCTGAACACAGTACGGCGCCAGTTGAAGAACAGCTCCTAGTTATCTTCTGTTCGGAAGAAAAGTTGCTTGAAAAGATTTGATTTATTTGGGTGCTGTGTTGCAAAGCACTGGAGTACTTCTCATTAATTGGATTTTTTTAAATGCTGTTAGTGCAGTTTATAAAATCTATATTGAAATCTTTGGAATAAGACTGTTTCAGGACATCTTTTTTTAAAAAGAAATTAATTATATTATGTCTGATCTCGATAATAAATTCCTTGCAAAAGTTTGTTCCAGAATTAAAGGGGTTTTTTGTTTGTTTGTTTGAAGTTGAGTGAATAGGCAGAGACCTAGAAAGCATCTGGCAATCTGCCTGCTTAGGCTCATATTTGTAACGTAAGTCCACATATTTTTTAAATAAAAAAACAAGTTTCACTCCATGTAGAAGAACACATGCAGAATTATTTCCTGAACTCTTTATAGATGTTCAGCTCTGTCCCCAATATGAGAACTGAAATGTGTAGGTGTGGGCAGAATGTGTCCCATAATAGTACAACATTTTAAAGTAGATCAGTCTCAGACTACATCTCTCACAAGAGATGGGGCATTTAAAGGCGGGGGGGGGAGTAGCATTACATGAGACTCTGAGGTATACATTAAAATATATATATGATGGAGGAAAAAAGTTTTGAGGTGATGAGCAAAACTATTGGCTCCCTAAGTATGATGAATAGGGAATTCAGGCAAAACTATTTTATTTCCTTTATAATGCCACAGAGGAAGTTTATACCCTAGTTTGAGAGTGTGTTCTTTTTCTGTAGATGGGCATGGTAAAAAATCAGTAGGTAAAGTGGATTTCAGTTCATACTTGGACAGGGAAAGCTCTTTAAATCCTGAGATTGTTTTATATCCTACATTTTTGGGGGTAATGCTCTATTATCCAATTTCAAAGTGGTGTTGCTATTGTCATGGATGATTTCATTTTATTTTTCATTGCCAAAAGGCTACACTGGATAGAGCTAATTTGCCTGTTTGGGTATGTGATGGTTGTCTTTTTTTTCCCTGAGGGATTTTAACCCTGCAATGTGTTTTTGCTTTTCACCAATAGACGGTTGTGCTGTAAACAATGGGTCAAGAATTCTGCTTGAGTTGGGCGTGGAATCTGGGGCTTAAAATATGAACCTGTAAATAGTGTGTTTAATATCAACATAATTTCTGTGTGATTAATTTTGTGTTCTGTGCTTTTCCAAGGTCCTGAGAAAATTTGTTTTTTAAATTAAATACATCATTAACAGTATTAAAAAAAATCTGGATGGTCTGTATATTGCATTAATTTAAGACTAGATAAAAAGTTTCTGGGGATTATTTGTGTGAGATGATCTTAGAATTGTGGGGTAGGAAAATATCTTCAGTCGTGTTCTGCAAATTTAGATGTATACTATATATAATGTTGTAACGTTTTTAAAAAAAATAAAATCTGGATTTAGAATTAAGATTTAGAACTTTTTGAAATGGGGACTTTAAAAATGGCCTACTCAGTTTCAGATCATCAGATTCTGTCTAAATATTTTGTTTTAACTTCTAAGCTCATTATGCTCTCTTTGTGTTAACTTGTATTAAAATCTGTCAGCTATGACTGGTCTCATAAGCACAGTCAGCGGACCAGAATAAGTTAATTATTTACTTGTGTCACTAGTGCTCTTCATCTAATGAAATGCACAGCTGTGTTAGATCTGCAGTTGGATGTGTAGATTCCATTGTTATACAAGTCAGCAGAGGGTAGAAGCCGCTATGATGGAGAGCCCTCAGTTCTTTCTGCTGTTCTGCCTTTCTGTGTCGATTTCATGGATCTTTTATCATTTACTTTCACACAAAACAAACAACACAGTGGCTGTCTGCTATGGGAACCGTCTTGGCATATTAAAGGGTTTTCAGAGCCTCAAGTAATTTTAAGTTAGCTAAAATTGAATTTTTGGCTTACAGGTGTCCTTAGTTCACATGCAATCTATGAAAACATTAGAAGGGAATGGGGCGAAACTCTCAATTTATATATCCATAAATATTTTGGGGGGTGGGGGGGGAAATGTGCAGTATGCAGAAGATTTAATAAAAACTCTTGTATTCTAATCTGCTTTCACCAAATGATCACATCTTTCTGGGGAAAGGATTGTTAATGATTTGTTGCAAAGAGTTAGGGAAAATTAGTCTGTACTAGATTACAAACTAAACATAAAAATACAAAAGCTCCAGTTGTCTTCCCCTTTTTCCCCTCCCCCATACTTACCATTCTCATTCTATTAACTACTGTCCCATGCACCTATCCCTGTCTTGTTTGGACAGTGGATGAGGAGCTCCCTCCTGAGCAGACGCCAATATCCCTCTGTGAACTGGCTGGTTGGGGGATGCCTTTTTAGGGATGTAACCAGCACCCTCAGTCTTTGCTCAACCCCCTCCAGCCTAGGACTTTTCTGACCAAAGTGTGCTCTGGCAGTTGCACCAGACTGATCTCAAATAGATTGCAGATTCTTTCCACTCTGAGGGCTTCTGGAAAAGATTGACTAAAACACTAGGCTTGGTTCAAAGGAATAGGGTTTTTAGTGCTTGCATTTTAGCACCTGATTTGAGATGCAATATCAGTCTGTATGCCCTGTACGGTGGTGGTCTTTTAATCTGTCGAATTAGATTGGAACATTGGAAACAATGTTCAGGGTTGGAGAGGAAAGGTTTGTAAAGTATCGTAAACCAATTTGAATGGGTTTCACACATCTGACTAGCTTTTGGAATTGGTAACCTACTTACCCCCACCTATGATCTTTAAACTATCATGACTGACATTTTTGGAAACTTTTTTTTTTAGCATAGAGGGGTCCATATCTGTCTAACAAACTATAAGGTGTCTGGGACTTGATCATGTTTTCCTTGGTTTCAGAAAGCTCCAAGTACACAGTCTTTTGCGCAGTAAATAAGTACCAACAGAAAACACATTATTTTGGGTCAGTTTTCTCAAAGGCTTGACTTCAGACAAACGTTTTATTCATGCATGTTG